TAGATGAGAAAGTATTTTGTCATAGACATATACATCTTTTTTGTTCTTTTGCTGGGTTTCTTCAAAAAAGATAAACTTCAAAAGAATTGAGTGAAGTCGCAGATAAACAAATTAAAAGAGGGTCTCCATTTTATCACTGAATATCTTTGGGATTTGTTGGATTGTGAGAAGCAGAAAGTGCAACCAACTTCTAAGACTGAACTTTGGAATTGTAGACAAATGTGAAAAAACTGAAAGCAAGTCTGTTAAAAAGAGCAGAAGCTGTGATAAAGACAAAGGTTAAATTATACTTTTATACTTAAAATATATTTTATATTTTTATTTACTTGTTGAGGCAGTTCGTTTCCTGCTAAATATATGTTTTCCACTTTTTTCTGACAGTGAAAAAGGAAGAACTTGTACTTAATTGCCCTTTTGACTGGAAATGAAATAAATGAAGGATGGTTTCTGACTTTTGCACAGCACTGTAGTTCATTTAAAGAAGCTTTTGGTTGCCAAGCAACGTAACAGTCAAAAGATTATTCCACGAACAGCACAATGGTTTTTAATAACTTGTGTATTAATGCAGAATTCAATTTACGCATGCAGTCACATTCATGTATACTGAGTATTTTAGAATGGCTTTGAACTCGGTTCAATCATATTTTGGGACTGAAACCATCCGTTTTATGATTCTTATTTTATCACGGAGTCACTTGGCCATTCTAAAAGTCTAGAAAGCTCTACTGTGGCTCATTGCCAGTGTTCCTGTGGCTCCAGAGCTCATCTCAGGGAAGACCAAAGACTCTTTATGTTAATCTTTAACTATAAATTCTGCACACTCAAAATAGCAGCCAGTGCTCTTAGAACCAGATCTTTTCTGCTGAGTACAGCAGGATCCCTCTCTCTAAGGCCTACTTTAGCTTCTCAGCTCTCGGGAAGAATCATCATTTGTATCTTTAATGTAGGTATATACCCAAGGTTAGGGTAGGTTTCTTGTTACAACAGCGCTACTCAAAGGAACATTGACTAGAAGAAAATGAATTTTTGTATTTAAAGCCTGTGTCCAAAAACAAGAAAAAATATTACTGACAGCACAGCAGATGTGCATCACTTAGTATAATCAGGAGGAATCATGAACGTTTAGCTTGTGTTTGGTACATGATCACAGCAATTATCAAGAAATAATCTTTTACGGCATAAGCATAGAGAGAACAGGCAGTTCATCTGGAAGGTTCTGGTTCACTGTGCAGTGCTCAAGGTGGCACTGCTTTATGTCTAACCAAGCTGAAAGGAGTTGCTTGGCAACTGTCCCTCCATTCTCTGCTAGAAGCTGCACCGGATACTCCATCTGGCCAATAATAATAAAGGTCCACAGTCTCAATGAACTGCTTTTCCTGAGCTTTTAGGCCTAATCCCATTTCACCCCTTGACCCTACCACTTAGCCTTACCCCTCCGTTTTACGTGTTCACATGTAGGGGTAGGGTGTCCTGATTTTGTTGAGATGAAGGGGTAGAGCAAAGCGTTAGGGCTACATGGCCCTCCAAACGGAGGTTTTTCAGAGGTAGAGTGTTATGAAAAAAAGAAAAAAACAGCAAGATGGCTTCACAAGTAACCAAAGAAACCCACAAATGTAAATATTTTCTCTGTTAAAAAGTCACAATAACCATTATATTAACTTAGTTTAATGTTGTTTCAATATATTATGGTCCTTTTCTTCATAACAAGCATAAAAAATCACTAAGAGTAAGCTGATGTCTCGGTAGCTAGCTAGGGAAATGTCCTGTTCCATCTTAAATGGTGCAGCAATTCTGACGCCTGAGGCCGAGAAACTGTTGTACCATTTAGGGTGGAACGGGAAAATTCGAACAAGAAGCTGGCGAATAACTGACTTTAGCTTCATATCACAGAAGAATTAAGGGTGGGCGATAATAAATAATTATTATATACCCCCTCTTTGAAGGCATATGTTTCCCTAAATTAACTAAAGACCAGCAGTGAGGTTGCTGAACTTTACCCTCCTCTGTTATAACTGCAGAATGGCAGGGTCACCTACAGGGCACCGCTAGTAGCCTGTTAATGAAATAATGTTCTTTTTTTTTGAGGGGAAGATTTCAACCACCAACTCTTGTAAGAACACACTCGAAAACAAGGGGTAGGAGTATAAATAAGAAATGAGACTTAGCGTAAATCAGGATCTAGGGAGAGATCCATGAAGAATTTTGAAATTAGAGACCCAACAGTCCTCTATCATAGTACTGAAACTAGGCAGAATATTTGTACATCTGGACGTTCATGCTTATTACAAATAAAACACTCCCCTTGATGGTTTAAAAAGAAAACATGGTTTGCTTTGAAATAGTATTATATGTCTTATACCTTAAACATTAGCCATGAAGTTGGTCCCATTCACTGTAGGGTTGTTCCTAAATTCATGACTGTGTTGACATCTGACATTTGATCTAGCTAGTTTTCAGTTGTTATGTCTTCCAGTACAGTCCAGCACAACCCACAGTGTAGGCAGGTTCAGAAATTTAATTACTCACTCTTATCTAATTGGGCCTAGGCAAACCATGAAAAGACAAATTCAGTGACCATCTGCCAAGCTTTTTATGAATGCATTTATTCATGCATAATCGGAAAGAGATGATTTATCTATTCCATTCATTTTGCCAAGTCATCCTAACTAATATACAATGCTGTGGGAAAGTTAGAGGCCACCCTTTCTTTTATTTAATTTCCAGCCAAGTACAAGTAGTCTAATTTTCAGCAGCAAACAAAGCTTTAAAAATCTCAAATTTAGACTCAACAGAATATAAAACCTAGTTTTATTGTTGTAGCGCAAATGACAGCCCCTTTCAGAACTATAGGGTTGAGTTGTCTTCTCACTGTGTAAGGATGAACTGAAACATCTGTGGATTTTTTAGATCTTTTCTGATGGTGACAGTGTTGGTGGTCTACCAGGTCTTTCATGGTTGTTAGTCCCACTTTCTCTATATCTTTGAATCATTTTTCGATCTCCAGTGTTAGAAACTCAAACAAGTGTATTATTTTACATCCAATCACCTTAAAAATATCTTGTGAAAATGAAAAACTTGATTAATAGCTTAATTAATACTTAATAGCTAGTTTGAATGATGAATGATGAAATGAAAGGGTGGTCTCTGACTTTTACACAGTTCGTTATTTCTAGTATAATTTCCAGAGGGTGAAAAGCATGCATACACATACAGCAGACTGTTTTGTTTTTAAGTGCTGCTCTACATCATCAAGATGAATAAATGTATAACCTAGGGTGGACATGCACATGGCAAATCCATGTGCTTTTCAGAGTTATGTGAGCAACGCACTTGTGCGCATGTCTCAAACTACTACTTTATCAATGAGTGAATGTTATTTGCAAATATATAAATAGATGGGCGTCTTAAGTACAGCAATTATAGCCTCCATGATTTCTCCAGCCTTCATTACATCATGACACACTGTGACTGTGAAAGAGAATCATTACCATCGTCACCATCAATCTGAAAAATACATGAGAACACATAATCAAGGGAAGTAGGGATGAATGCACCTTTGGCAGCTTTCACCCATGATATCAGTAAAAAAAAAATTCTTTTCTTCTTCTTTTTTGCTTATTTCAGATCAATCTTATCATTTCTAATATAACTTTCAAAGAGTGAAATTTGGGTAGAAGACCTGGACTGGCAAAAGTAAGCATCTTCACACATTAAATGCTTGGCTGGTTGGCCAGCCTCCAAACGCAGGACTGGCCAGCTGGTTTAATGAGAATTGTCCACATAGGTTTCACGTTACCCCAGGTATTTTTAATCCCTGCAAAGGTCAGCAGGAAACAGCAGGCTTAGAGGAAATCAGAGAAGGTGAGTCTTTCTCAGCCGACTCACTGAGGAAGACATATTTATCATTGATCATCTCCCCCTCAGTAATACACTATGCAGTATAAATAAGGGATTTATGACAGACAGACACAAATGTGTCTTTTTCCCCCATATAAAATAATTGTTTGGGTGGATTAATCAGTTCCAAATTAATATTGAAACAGTATTCATCATTAGGTTGAAATACAATTTTAAGAGATCTACTGATTTACAGTGTATTAAAGTGTGCTGTATGAATAACTACACTGTAAAACATGATTCAGTGTTTTAGTATTCTGGTTGCCTTAAAACTTGAGTTCACTGAACTTCAAATAATAAGACCTTAAAACACAGATTTTAAGGCAACCAGGCAACTTTTTTCAAGTTAAAACACTGGATTGTTTTTTTACAGTGTATAGAAATATATGTATATTTTGCTATGCAGAGGTTTGTTTTTCCTTGTATTTTTCAGGTTAATGTGGCCCTTGATCATTTTTTCCAGTTTTTTTTTAAACCACCAATTTTACTGATGTTTAATGTGAAAACTCCTAATAATCAATCACAAGTGAAAGATCAGGGATTGTAAATCACATTTGTATTTTCCCTAGTAATTGGGAAAATCAGCTCCGTCTCTGCTAATTCGCTGTCCAGGCTAAAGCACTGAAGCTGTGTTATTTGAGTACTTTGGCTCATGCTGTGAAATGAACCATTAAACCTGCTCAGTAGAATGGTGGTCGTTTTTATAAAATTCCCACTGGGACACTATGTTCCTACCTAGCTGACAACTGCTTGCCAGGAACTGCTGAAGTGAAACAGTAGAGATGACGCAACTGGATAGTGTTTGCAGATGTTAAATCAGAGCATGTGGGTGTCTATATTTAAGGCTTTATCGCTGGTGCATGTGCTGCCTAACTAAAAGATTAGACTTAGATTAGGAAGTGTAGCACATCAAGGACAGGAATAATGGAGGCCATTAAGGAAGTGAGGAACCTTTTAAGGCGGCACTGTTTCTATTCCTAGCCTCCGGAGCTTAAGCTGTGAATAAATTATCACTTGTTTAAGAGAGAGTCCCCTTTTCTCATTTACGTCATTCATGTCCTTCTGTACAGAATAAGAGACAAGGAAACCAATTTGCTGTTCATCTTTTAATAGAAACAAAATCTTTGGCATCATATAAACTGTAAATAAATAATCAACATTGACAAGTCAAATAAATAGAGAAGACAAGCATGGTTTCTTATAAGGTGACAATGCTGGAAAGAGGAAGATCACAACTGCCCAAAATATAGTCTCTCTTCATGGTGGACATTTTGTTGACCACTTTAAACCGCAATGACCACTGACTGAGCTCTTCCTCAGATATGCCATCAAAGAAAAAGTCCTCATTGAAGATTGGGTTGCGGCTCTTCCTAATGACAGTGCTGCGCTGTTTCTGGACCTTTCCAGGCACGAGAGAGAGGCTAACACTACAGTTAATGCTCTTAGGGTCTACAGAAAGAGAGTAAAGGCCTTCTGCGCTGATGAGTCTGACCCGTAGCCTCTGGTTCTCTGGACAGTATTCTGCTGATACCCGCAGGGCTCCATCCCTGCCGACAGGCACGAGGCTCTCCTTCATCACCCGTTCTCTGTGAAGAATCAAGTCCATGGGGAAGATGGCAGGAGGTGCCAGGCCAAAGCTGCAAGAAAGAGGCTCTACGAGGGCCTCTGACGATCTTCTCATGACGTTAGGGCTGTTATCTGTGGAGCTGCCTTCATCCGTTGATAGGGAGTTGTTCCTGGATACAGCGGCCTTCCGGATATTGCGGTAGAGCAGCTTCTCATGGCTAAGTGTTTTGAACAGGGATGATTTGGGTGGTGATCTAGCCAGAAGAGGTGAGCTAAAAGGGGAAGATTCTGCTGAAGATGTAGTGTCACTATCGAGTGTACCCTGCCTATGCAGGGTGAAGCTCTTTGGGGAGAGTCTGGAGGTTAAAGTATGCAGGCTGAAGGATGAGGGTGAGGGGGAGGGAGAAAGAGGAGTAGAAGACCTAGAGCAGGTATTGGACCTGCTCCGGGGCAGAACCAAGGGAATCCCACAGGAACTGGGGTCATTGTGGAAGAGGGACTCCTTACGTCTGGTGTGGGGGCTCTCCAACAGCGTGCAGAAGCCATAGCAGGTCTGGGCTTTGGCCAGGTGAGGCAGGGAGAGAGCAGCCTGGCTCTGAGGGTCTGCGTTGGTGTTCTCTTCGTCACTACATGTGTTGTCATATGGCCCGTCATCCACACTCTCGACCTGGATGATGTGGGTGTTGACTGGCTCTCGTGAGGGCATCTCTTTCTTTGGGCTGCCTCTCTCAGGTGGAACTCTGATACAAGGGCTTGATTTCCCTTGCTCCAGTGGGGTTGAGATTTTAGGCGGGATGCAGAACTCAGGGATGGTGTCTGGAGTGATGATATTGGGACACAGGGAGACCTTCTTGAGTTTATCAGCAGGTGCCTTTTCACCAAACATGATGTCGCCAATTTTGAAGCTGTATTCCGTCACTGGAAGTAGCAGATTGGTTCTCTCTACTGACACACGAATCTTTTCAACCACCCACATGGGATCGACCTAAAAATCTGCAATAGATAAAAAAAATTCCACTTATTAATTAGTAAAAATGTATAGAAAGTCTGTTTTCAATAGTTTCTACACAAAATCCAGATATAAATTAGTAGAAACTCCACAGGGACTGCTATGATTAGCAGTGGTAGAAAGAAACTATGCTGCTTACCTTAAAAGCAGGAGTGCACACGTGAGTTCAGTAAGATTGTTCAGTTTGCTGCATTAGAGAGGCTCTACAGGGCGATGGTTGAGCTCATCAAGTTCTCTTCTCTCAGACCAGCGTTTCTGTAACGCGAGAAAAGAGCTCCTGGCTACTTATACAGCAACAGCAGGGTGGGTGGAGTCAAGCACCACTTGTGCACACCTCCACAAGCTCTGAGAGAGTTCTGCCTCACACACTGGCTTCAGTTCCCATAGGAACACACAAACCATAACACTTTAATCTGAGTCTCAAGCTTGGAAAAGTAAAGGCTAGCGTGATAAGCAAATTGCTTTAAAATGCAGCAGATCAGTCTGATACAATCTACCAGTGCGAGTGCTAGTATGTTTAACTTTCCGTTCTTGAGAGAGAACAGAGGTTAAAATCATGTAATTAATTGGATAAGGTTTTACTGACCTTACACATTTACTGAGCTGACATGAGCCACCAGCATGAACAAATGTGACAATGGCAAAGGGTGTGATGTTAAATATAGGTCAGTCCACCTTATACCAACATTTTAGAGTCTGCGCTGTAATATCAAAACTTTGTATCTCCATTTTTACACCATTTGAAAACACCAGCTGCCTTCTATATTGTGTGACCATTTTGTGACCAGTAAAAATGGTCCAAAATTACTTGTACTTAAATGGTCTGGTAACACTTTTTTTTGTTGTGGTCCTTTGTAGATGATTAATAAACTCTAAACAGATTATCAGTAACACATCAACAACATATCAGTGAAGTAGCAGTACTGAAGAATCTGAATACATTGTTACTGAGAGTCTGTTGAGTATTTGTTTCATCTAAAAAGGACCACTTAAAATAAAGGATCACCAACGTTATTACATTAACATGCATTAAAAGTGAAGACTATTTTTCCCTCCTCCTATAATTTTATCATTTCGAAGACTGATTAGGTTTTGTTATGACAACAGCGATATGAAACAACTGCAAACCAGCGGCACCCGGTTCAGCATTTATCGATTTTTTAAAGCAGTCATGGCCAGTCATGCCTGAAAACATCAATGCAATGATTTATTGTATTCATAGTCTTATAGAAGTGACTGTTCATCATAGACTTCAGAGAAAAATGTGTGTGAACAAAAGTACACACATTCAGAGTTCTGAGAATGTAAAGACAAGGTGTTTCATATCACCTCAATGCAGATAACATCTAGCCATAGAATAGTTCAGTCTGCTAGAGTAACAGCTCAATTGTTGGCATAGAACATTATAAGTGGCTTACATAACAGTGTTTAAAACCATTACAGTCATGAAATACAGTGATAAGGCAACACAAGAACTACAGTAACATTTGGGCTTTTAATACACCTCTGTCAATTCATCAGGACAATGGAGAACATTCTGTGAGCACACTATGAAAGCATGCACTTACAAACAAGCACCATGTAAATGTATCTCTCAGGTACCCTCTTGTGGTAGCAAGGAATACTGTGCATTGGTGCTGGGTTTCATTTTGCATTTATAATACATTGTTATGGATGCAAAGGGAAAAAAATTAATTTAAAGACATATATACTGTGAAAAAGTCAGGAATCACCCTTTCCAGCGAAAAGGGCTGTTAAGTAAAAGCTATTTATTTTTCAGGGGGTATTTCTGAGGAGATTAGATATAAAATATTCCACAAGGCAGGGGAATGTAAGTGAAAATAGATGTTTCCAAAATAGGAGTTCAAAAAATTATTAAAACATATTGAGAAAATTGGACTCATAACTTCGAAGCAAAATTTTGCAGACCACCAAAACTGTCACCACCAAATAGCAGTACTCAAAGCTTTCATCTTTGACAGAGGAAATCAAGCTCCACTCTTGCTTCAGATCTGAAACAATCCACGGGTGTTTCTGTCCATCCTTCCACTGTGAGAAGACAACTCAACACTATGAGTCTGAGAGGATGTGTAGCTGACAAGAAGCTGTTACTGCGAAAAAAAAAAATAGACAGAAAAGAACATTTTCAAATCAAAAAAATAAGCTGCTGGTGTTCTCAGAGCAATGGACTGACCACCACAGAGTCCAGACCTCAACATCACTGAATGTGAATGACTAAACATCAGAGGTGTCGAAAGCAAGTCTCTCAAAACGAATGGAAATAATAATAAAGGTAAAGCGTGGACACATTAAATACTGAAAAAATATTATTAAGGCTTCTCTGTATTTGTATTGTTAAATATGTCGTCTACTTTTGTCATGATGCTGAAAAATGAATAGCTTGTACTTAATGACCTTTTTGACTGGTCTCTGACTTTTGCACAGCACTGTATGTTTGTTTAAAGAGAGCATCTATGTTAAATTGAGTATAGGACTAAAAAAATCTTTAATATACTCCTTTAGTGACTTTATATACGGTGTAGATGGCTTAAATGTTTCACTCATGTTACCATTAAGGCTTTCTCTATGGCATCAACTCATTCTTCTCTGAGTTTATAGATCAGAGTTCAAGTGCATTATCTCAGTAGCCCTGGGAAACCACATCATTAGACAGCTGGTTTGGTTATAGATACTGCTGTTAATAGTGGAAAAACTGGGCCTTATTCTCAGAAATGTTCAGGACTTTTATGCATTTTTTAACAGCAGAGAGCATGCTATATTGCTCGTTTTGTGTGTTTTATGGCCTGAGGGAGATTTTACTGAGGATAAATGATATTTTACATGCAAAAACAGTGGCTGATGCTGTTCCTAAGCTGGGTCATTTACCTTGCACAGTAAGGTCAGGATGTATAAAATATTTCCTACAACAGTACAGTCTTAAGATAATGCTCTGGTATATAATATTGATTGTGGGTGAATCGTAAGACCAAAGAAAACTATACCTTTAACACTCACTCTTCTCTTGTAGATTTAAATGTAGGGTATACAGATTTAAAGCAGTCTAAAAGACCAGAAGAATGCAAAATGCCATTTAAATCTGAAGACGCTGACAGTAATTCCTGTATATTGCTTAAGCCTAATAGACAGTTTTAAATGAAGCTAGTGTGAGTGTGCATTATCTAGTAATGGCACATTGTATCTCAGAAAAGAGGCAGTTTGACAGTTTTCCAACACCCCACTCACACATGCACACACAAACACATGCACACACACATAGGCACAAAATTCCTCTTTTCTCTGTATAATGAAGGTGACCCTTGTCCCAGTGAACTACAGCTGGTTCTAATCATCATCACTGGCTGCTTATAATCAACATCATGTGTTTCAGGCCATCTCTAAATGTGACCTTGTGTTGCCTAAATCTGAAATGTTTGTCCCTTTGCCACTTCAAAAAGGGAAAAGTCACCTGGTTTTCGGGATAGGGATCATGCTGGCAACGCGTTAATTAAATGTGATTACGAGGGAAGGCGTTTTATATGCTAGTTTTCAAGTTGACCACTAGAGGTCAGTATCATGACACATACGTTTAGCAAAGGCCTTTCATTGATTCAGGTCAAAAGGTAAAGAGGGGATGGTTGGGGGTCAGGAATGTCAAACGACACAGATTCAGTGATTGAGACACCCAATATTTCAATATGGAAGCCAATAATATGGCTTAGTATTCAGTCTGTATCCTTGTCTAACCTTCACTTTTCTTTCTCCATTCGGTAATCCATTCTTATTTGCTAGCGTGGACTTGCCTGTGTCCTGTCTTTGTTTTTGTATGTCTGAGAGTATAGAAGGGTCATTAGAAAGAGCAGTTTTGTTTCTTAAAGATATAAGAATTGAGGTTTGGCCTTGTCTTTCATGCCTATTCAAATACACAAGCAACGCACACTGTTTCAGTTTTGTTTTCTTCTGTGCCAGCAACCAGAAGCACATCTCCTACGCAAGTCATACCCAGGGCTATTATTCCTACCCACCTGCAGTGATTCATGGGCAAAGTGAAAGAATGCCGTTGGAATGGGCTCCTTCTTCTTCCTATTCATTTTACTGAACCCAGAAGGGCATGGCACGCATGGTTCAGGCCTTACTGCTCTTCCAGATCATTTCCCCTCGAGTACCTTTGGACAGAGAAGATAACTTACTTCTCTTCATGTAACAGAGCTTGTCTCATATAAGACATGCATTGTTTGGCCAGAGAAGCAAGCATGTGGAAGGTAACTCTATTCCCTAGAGGCCCTCAAAATAGACATTTTGAGGGTGTTAGTGCAGTGCCGGTGATCGACTATGCTCCATTCAGAAACAACGTCAACACGCGTGTGGGTGTTCAATCAGAAAAGTACTGTTCAATGAGAATACATGCAGCTAATAATGACATACACTTTTCTTTCACTGTCTCATAGAATCCAGTTCGCCTACACACCCAGTTTTTCCTTTTTATGCCTCATTTCCAGCCTGAGCGAATTCACCATGTATGCAGGCTGCGATTCAAAAATTAAACTCTCATACATAATCTCACTTACAGTTACCCAGACAGTGAGTAATGAGTAAGTGTTTATGATCAAACCAGTAGTGGTAGACATAAACACAGAGAAGCTTGTTTCTGTCAGGGTTTTGTGGTTGTGGAAGGACATCACAGATCATCGCAGAAGACGTGCTGTGTACAGAAGGCAGGCTGCGTGACCCCTATAAATGTTTGATGCCACCCCCCTTGGTGAGTCACACTGATTCATCGACTCACCTGATACAAGTAACCAGAGCATCTTTGTAAAAAGAAAATAAAAACAAATTGTAAAAAAAAAGTGCTGTTTGCGTTTGACCTCCAGGAGATGACTAAAGCAGCTACAGTGATAAGAATAGCTTTGTACTCTGGGCTTTGCCAAAACACCGCTCCTCTACTCCAGATCATGTGAAAGTAATTAGAACAGGTTGAGCTGAGTGGTCATCTGAAACTGTCCTCCTTTGTTGTCACGTGGGAAATGAAGCTGTGTGCTTAAGCCTGCAGTCACATAAATTAACCTTGTCCAGTCTGGGATGTTTTCTTTCTTTTTTGAACTACTACCCATTCCTGAAGGAGAGGTCCACCGATTTCTTTACAATTTCAGCATAATTCACTCTCTGAAAAGTAAACACGCTCAATCAGACTGTTTTAATGCACCATTCTAGAGAAGAAAACAGTCATTCTAGAGCAAAATACTCTTAAAAAAGATGGTTCTTCAGTGGTTCTTTAGTAAATACATGGTTCTATATAGAATCAAGTACACTCAAAGAACTATTTGCATGCTTAAGGGATTCTTTGCATGGTGAAATATTTCTTAAGATTGATGGACAATGTGTTGTACATGTTTCTATATAGAACCTTCTTGAAAAGGGTTTTATATAGCACCAAAAATGGTTCTTCTATTCTTACAAACTTGACACTGTAACAGCAGACGAGCCCTTTTGGTGCTATATAGAACTATTTTCATAAAGGTTCTATGTAGAACCATACACAACACATTCTCCATCAATCTGAATGAACATTTTACCATGCAAAGAGCCATTTAGGCATGCAAACGGTTCTTTGATTGTTCCTGGTTATATATAGAACCTCTATTTACTAAGGAACCCTAGATGAACCATCTTTTTTAAGAATGCAAAAGCTAATGCTGGTTAATATATCAGAGTTACAAACATGTAGCCTGATGCCTTAGAGACTATTTTACCAGAGTTTATAGTTTTGTGTAAACTAGAGTCCTCTGGGTATTTCCATGAAATACTCGCAGCACACACTGTGGGAAAAAAATGGCAAACAAAACTGATTTAATACAGATTTACTAGATTTTAGCATTACCAGCATTACACAGTAAAGCCTGAAGACATGTGTGGGTTCACTGGTTGCTTGGCTATATGGCCATATTTGTGGTGAACCCTGGTTCCTATCATTAATTTGTGGTGAACCCTGGTTCCTATCTGAACCCTGGTTCCTATCATTAACATACAAAGTAGTCCAAGGTAAATTTCTCTAAAATAGACTTTTTTATGGATAATAAAGAAAATGGCTATGTTTGTGGTGACCCCTGGCTCCTGTCATTAAGACCCTGAAGAAGTCCAAGGTAAACTTCTTATTTTTCTGAAATGCACACATTGTACACACAAAATAAAGTACACAACTTAGGGGTTCGGCAGTGCTGTAGATATGATGGAGCCCCTCTTTCCCACACCTTCCCATATTAATAGCGCTGTATTTGAGCGCAGCTCCTCGGTGAGGGACCCTAATAACGGGGGCGGAGCCTGAGCGTAGAGGCAGGACCACAGCCTGCTGCCTCTCTACATCAACTCATCTCTCATGCACGGACAGTGCTGGATTTCAGGTAGGAATTTACGATTTAAGGATTGTTTTCTGCATCGTCTTGCGTTGTGACCTTTCCTGAAAGCTTGCTGAATGCAAACGCAGGCGTTCTCTGCCTCTCCCTCGCTCTCTCTCCCTCTCTTTCTCCCGTGCTCTGCTGTGGTGTGTCTGCTCTGCTGTGAGCCTGACCGAGTCGACATGTGATGGTGGAGAATGAATGGGCGTTTAGTCTCGTGTTTCTGAATTTAGCTCTCACTTCTGCTGGGTCCACGCTCTGCCTGCTCGGGTCGCGTGCACAGGACACGACCGAGTCCAAGTTGTTTGGTGTTTATTCCCGCTCAGTAGCCCCTTTCGGCTGTGGGAGACTTTGCCTGTTGATTCGTTTCCTCATTTATCCTCGTTTTTGTTTACTTCCTCGGCCAGGCTGCTGGATTCATCCCTGATATGTGTTATCTACGCGGGGTCAGCGTGATCAGGCAGCCTCTCAGCTAGCACACACAGATAGCGGCGATAGCGAGAAACACGAAGAGCACGAAGAAGGTCAGCACGCTCCGTGTCCGGAATGCTGGACCCGACTTTTCTAGATCAGACCGCTTATTTGGGCGAGCTCGGTCCTCTCTGAATGTCCTCTGTGTGTGTGTAGCATCTCCCTCAGTCAGTCAGTCAGTGGGGTCATCGCTAAAGGGCGAGATTTGACGCCGCCATATTTTAATGGTATGTCTGATGTCCTATCGATGTGCATCTCTACATTTCTGTAGCCGTATGTGGCTCATCTCTCTTACTCCGTGCTCTGGAACTTCAAACGTAGGTGTGATTTGTTCCCAGAGCTCTGCTGGTCTTGTCAGGACGGGCTAGACCGCACGACACATGCAGAGAAACGGCTCGTTAAAATGTAGGTTTTCTGCTGTTTGTGAACACGAAGTAGCCCATCTCGACCTCTTTCGGCTCTAGCGATTCTCGGTTGGCGAGTGTCGCTGTCTCATGGTCGGTCTGTGCCCTCAGAGCCCTCAGAGCCCCCCTCTGTGCTGATCATATTCATCTGGATGGATATTTGATGGACGTGTGGAGATAAGCCCTTCACTCCGCTGCCAGCCGGCACGACGGAGCTGAAAAATGCGGTTCCCGTGTGCTCTCTACTCGTAATCCTCTCATATTTGCTGTAAAGCTGAATTCTACAGTGAGCTGTTGCCCCCTGTCCGAGGCCAGCTGACTTAAGAGCAAAATTTGAGAATAATTAGAGGAGCCCGCGCGCTCACATTTGCACTCTCGCGCGGAGCTCTCCTCAGGTAGGCTGTGCTGATAATGTCGAACTGTTCGATGAGAAAAGCGAACAAACGGTACGCCGCTAACGAGTAGTCGGACAAGGCGGACTGTATCTACATTTTTAGCCTCCACCAAGTCGTCCTTCGCCTAAAGTTCGGCTCTCGGAGGCGTACAGGCGATGTTGGCGCTGAAAAAGAGCCACACCCCTCAAAGCTGGAATCCGCAGGCATGGCAGCCCTCAGTGTGTTCAAGAGTAAAAGCCTATGTGAGTTACACACGAGTGGGAACTGGAGGCTAACTGTGGATGTATTTATCTTATCTACTAGTCCCTTTCAGGGGCTCAGCCTTGTTTTACGGTGTGCGTAAATAAGTAATCAGTCGAATGAGCGTTTATTTTTTAAAGGGTGCATATCATGGTAAACCAAATTGTCCTTGGTTTTCGAAATGAAGGAGAATTTACCACTGTTAATGTTTCACTCTCCAGTCCTTACACAGACATTACGCTGCAAAAACGACCCGTTTTGAATCCACTGTTTTTGTGATGTCACAAAAAACCCCCCAGCGCATTTACATATCCACCTATTCCGCCTATAGCAGTTAAGCCCCGCCCATTCATGATAATGTGATGAGGAGTGGTTCAGCCTGGACTGCTTTCTTGAATGAGGCGCAATACAGGGTAGCCATTTAGAATAGAGCTTATTTACATATATCAGTTTGAAAGGGAAAAAGCAAGGCTGACTGTCATCTTGTAAGAATGAATTCTGGCTTCTTTTAGATACAAACAGTTACACAAATGCCATAAGTCAGAGAAAAACAAACTATAAGAGAAATGCAGAAAGTGGGCCCTTTAGTAGAAGAATGCCTAGTAGTAGTAGCCTGCTGCTATATTTCTTATGTTTTCCACCATAAATAAACAGCACATAGGATTATGTTGTGTCATATTAAGGCAACACTACAACATCAGATGAGCAACAGTGATCAGTGATGTTTTCTTAGATTAAAAGTGCTTGTTCTGTTTGTCGCTGTGTTGTGATGAATGCCCTGCTCACACTAGGAAATTCACATTTGCTCCAAAATGCCCTCATTGTTTTGTTTGCTTGGCTGTATTTAATGTCATTCAGCAGTGTGACAGAAATGTCCTGATTGTATTCCTGACCTGTACGCAGACACTCAGAGGAATAGGCTTTATGGTGTGTGCTAGGCGATTTAGGCACTGAGCAGGAAGCCAGCACAGGAAGAGACGGATGTTTAATAGTGCTGTGCAGTAGACTTTCTGGCTGTTACATGAGGTCAAGCCTGTGATCTCTGAATGGTGTTGTCTTTTTGTCCTGAGAAAGTCTTTGTTAGGACAGACGTGGTTTTACTGGGCCTTGTGGGTCCAGCACATTGTGTTATGGGCTGATTAACGTGCAAGAAATATGAATTTAAGGAAGCAGCAAATCAAGGAGTAGTGTGACTAAATGGCATGTTTGGGACAACATAAACAGGTATCAGTCTGCATATAGTCTTGTGTTAGCAAATACACCACAACAGGCCTCAACATAAATGCAAAATACAACTGAGGAAAACCTCATTATCTCAGATATACAGACAAACTACTAAGAAACTAAGCTGAAAAAACAGCTTGATTTATTGTTTTTGTGTTGTCACATGTGTAACACGTGTATATCCACCCATATAGTGTTTCAGCCCAGACTGCTTTTTAATTAGGCACAATAGAGGTCAGCCATTTGGAACAGAGGTCATATATGTAGGTCTTGAAGGCACAGTAACAAAAACCTGTTACTGTTTAAATCTAAGGGATAAAGAAAGGCTTGGAAATGGATATGTAAAAAAATTGCTGCTATTTTTGGTACATAAACCCACACAAATGTCAAAAGCGAGAAAAAAATGAAATACAGCAATGATGTAGATTATGGGCCTTTTAATTGTGCCTTACATTATTCAAAGCTATCTTAAGTTTTAAGTAGGAAAATCTAATAACACAGAGCTTGTGATCGTGTAGTCTGGCACACTACATTCAGCGTTCAAGCTGTAAGTCCAAAAACATGGTGGTCTTGGTGAAATAAAAGGCCTGGAGCTTAATTTACAGAAAATGATCATATTTAAATCACAGTTTCTTTGTTGTCAGAAAAATCGCAATTGGATTTTTTCCACAATTCAATCAGCTGTACCTCTGGCTTAAAGTAAAGGCGCTTGTCATGTCTTTGCCACTGTATTGAAGTGAATATTATGTTTAAACTTGGCCTAATTCAGATATGCTTTACTGAGCTGTAAAGTCCCTCTTTCAAAATGCGCTGAAGTGACCGCTGCAGATTTTGACCTGACGCCAACCGAAAGAGAGAAAACACTTCAGAGGATTTATGGACAGAAGGCTTGAAGGTCATTGCTGTGTCTGCTGATGGACTCTGCTTGATTACTCAGTATGACCACTCTCCCTCACCAAAGACTTGCAACTTTTGCAAACACCTGCTTTCCACTCTCTCTCTTTCTCCCATATGCATGGCTATAATTAGTTGTCTGCACAGCAAGTGTCACAAGCTGGGATACAGCTTCGCCTGCCAACAGAGGCTGATAAAATCCGACGATTCCAGTGACATCAGGCACCAACTGAAAGCAGCGAGGAGAGGTGGCCACGTGACAGGGTTCGTTCTCTGATACTGTACTACCAAGGCAAGTAGCGATGATGATATCAGGAACAAGCATTCACGCTCCAGTTTAGAGAAGCGCTTGAGAGGACAGAGCGTTTTGGAGTCCCTCCATTTCTGTGCAGATATATTTGTGGCTTGGGGCCAGGGCGGCACGTTGTTACTCTCACTCCACTGATGCATGAGAGCATGGGGCCCTCCATAGGTGCCTGGCTCTGGAGAAACCAGAGCTTTGATTGCTATCTAAGGCCTGATGAAGTCGTGCCTGATTGCATCATCTTTCAGTTCATTCTGGTGACCTCATGTGCTTGATGTTTAGCTTTTTTATCCCTGCAATCTCAATGAAATGATCAGGGCAAAACATCAGATGAATTCTCTGTAAAACTGAGTGCAGCTGGTATGAAGCTGTAAGCATTTTAATGACATGATGTAGTAAAACTTACAGAGTGTTTTCCATAGTTACAAAGAGTGTAACGGTTTCTATGCAGTAGTTTACAACTGGTAAAATGAATGTGAGTTCATACTATGCCTTCAGCATGGCAGTGGTATGAGGGAAGACTGGTTGAGGGAGGGGGGGACTCTGAGAACTTGGGCTGGAGTTCTGGGCAGCTTCTGCCTGTAGCAAGAAGGCCAAACCCCACCACCCCCATAGCTTTAGTAGGACTGATGTAGGACTGAGGAACAGGGAGGAGATAGGATGCCGGTGGGGATTGTGAACTCTTTGTCATGGGAATGGAAGATGAGGGTATGAATTTATAGGGCGTTAGATTGGAAGAAGGAGGGGTGTCAGGCATAACTACATCTTGAAATGTAAAAATGTATTTGCTGATTTTTGGGTTCCTGCCACAGTGTAATCCTCAATTTTTAATCCACTATTAAAGTCACATAGGGATCCTCCTTGTACAAGGTACACCTACACTAAAAGTCTTCATGAGATGCTGGTCTGCTGAGAGCCTTGCTAAAGCTGGTATGAAGTAATATGATAAGGTAATTACGGTGAGTGATATCAGCTTACCTCTTATTGTAATTCCCCCCAATGTATTCTCATATTGTGAGAGTAATTAAAATCAAGCTCTCTAAATGATTTGTCCATTGACGTTTGCCTGATGGC